ATAAATAAATAATAAATTAAAAAAAATCCCAGACATGTTTGCACCTAACACCTGACCCTTGAAAATATAAAGCAAAGGTCAAGGGAAGGGAAGAGGATTACTGAATTCTCAGGCAATCCACAATTATAGCAGATTCCAATGTTCCTCTCTCAGTAACTGATAGAACAAGCCCTCAGAAAATGAAAACCATGAAGAACGCAACACCATCAACCACCTAGTCCTAGCTGACGCTTACAGAATGCACTGCCCTGAAGAACAGAAGACACACATCCAAGTGTACATGGAATATTTACCAAGGTACTTGTACTTTAGGCCCGAAAGCAAACTTAAAATCTGGCAATTTACCAAATAGTTAAACATGGGCTGAACAGAGTCATAAGAGAAATTATAAAATAATCTGAAATGTAAAATGTCATGATAATGAAACATAAATGAAAATGTAAAAATATGTAACAGGAAGTTAAAACAGTGCTTACAGAAGAGATTTCAACTTGTGGGTCACATCAGATATTTATATTACAATTCATAACAATAGCAAAATTACAGTTATGATGTAGCAATTAAGTAATTATATGGTCAGGGTCACCACAACATGAGGAACTGTATTAAAGGGTCACAGCATTAGGAAGGTTGAGAACCATTGGCTTAGAGAGACCAAATGTTTATGGTGGAAAAGAAGGTTTCTGATGAAACTTTAGCTCTTACTTTAAACAACTATGAAATGCCAATCACACTTAAGACACTTAAGAACATGAGGAAGAACAGAAACCACTGGAACTGAAAACTGAAAGCAACACAAAATACCAATGAAATAAAAGGCATGCCCTCTGAAAGAGACAATGAAATTGATGGCAACTTCTGGGTACATTGATCAAGAAAAAAATGAGGGAGAAAAAAAACAAATTACTAATAATAGATATAAAAGATATACATTACTATTTATTTGGGGAGGATGGTGAAACAAAGTCTTACTGTTCAGGAACTTACTATGTAGATCAAGCTGGCCTCAAACTCACAGAGATCTACGTGCCTTGCCTCCCAAGTATTGTGGTTAGAGATGTGTACCACTATTCCTGGCTTATCATTTATTCTTAGTAAGTGTAGGGGTACACAATGGGAAGGAACACAAATGCCATAGCATGCATGTGGAGGCCAGAGGAAGGTCGCCAGGCCACTGACTGAGGCATACTACAGGTCCAGGAAAGGAGCCATTGCAAATAAAACCTTATCTACATACCTGACAACTTAGATGAAATAACAAACATTCTGAAAGACAGATGATTGAATTCCCACCCCAGAAGCTATAATCATTCAGTATCTACTAAAAAATACTCGTTTCATAGTTTAAAATATCCAGGAGGGAAAACCAGTAGTCCAGATAACATTATTAGCAAATCGTATCACATATTTATGGAAGAAATAACATCAATTCTGCATATATTTTTCCACAAAATGGACGAGGAAAGAGCACTTCACAACCTGTGTACCAAATGACAACTTATGAAATATTATATACCAATACACAGGGAGACAAAAAGTTCTTGAATTGTTAACGAATCAAAACTGTCTAGTTTCATTTTGGGACAGAAAGCTAGTACAGGATTTGAAAGTCAAATAACTTATATAACTTATATTAATATAAGTTATAATAATATAACTTTATTAATATAACTTATATTAATAAACATGGGTTGGAAAGTCCCTTTACCACAGACAAGGAGTGAAGAAGGTACCATTCAATTTCCCAAGGGTGGAGGCAATCAACACTCCTACTCATCTACGACATCTCTGAACCACAAGCAACACGGCAAGGTAACTGTACGGGTGCAATAATGGCACGCAGAGCGCAGCGGTGACCGCCCGTCCTCTGACTGGACTGAAGAGCTGCCCAGCAAGAGGGGACCATGCCTGGTGCTGAAAACCCAGCCAACTACTCAGGGGAAGTGAAACCATAGAGCTTGGAAAAACCTACAACTGCCACTGCACTAAACAGGCATAATCCCTAACTACATTCTAAATAGTCATCCTTATATCACAGAAAGAGCAGTTCTCACCCTCTACCAGGGAAATTTCTCTTTGCAACAGAGACTATTAGAAAATCACAATTGATTAAAATGCAGTTGTGGAGTCCAGTCCCAACTAATACAGCCATAACACAACCCCTACACCTAAGATTCAGGGATCATTGTGGAAGAAGGGACAGAATAGTTTCAAGAGTCAAAGGAGCAAGAAGTTTACTATTAGATTATATCTTCTAGCAATGTCAGATGTTACACCCTTCAAGTCCCACCAGCAAGGCTGTCACACTGACATGACAATGTGTCCCTTTATACCTTGCCCCTGGCAATCACTGGTATCTATTGTCTCTGTTGTTTTGTCTTTCTCAAAATATGATAGAAATAGAAGCACATAGTAGATACTCCCTGAGTCTTAGTATAATAAATGAAAACTAGGGGCTAGGCTCAGCAGTTAAGAACACTAGCTGCTCTTCCAGAGGACCCTTATGGCAGCTCACCAATGTCTGCAACTACAGTTCCAGGAGATTTGACACCTTCATATAGACATATATGCAAACAAAACACCAACGTACATAAATTAAAAATAAATAAATATATTTTTTAAAATAAGTAGAAATTATGGCCAGCTGCCTGTTTTTGTAATGGTTTAAAAGCGAAAATTGAATTTTACTTTTTATTTTGAGACAGGGTCTCATTATGTAGCCTTAGTTGGCCTAGAATTCCCTATGTAGAGTAGACTGGGCTCAAATCAGAGATCAGCCTACCTCTGCTTCCCAAGTACTGGAATTAAAAGTGTATGCCACCACACCCAGCAAGAATGATCTTTAAATGGTTGAGGGGGTAAAGTCAAAAGAATAGTACTTCATGATTGGAAAGTATATGAAGTTCAAATCTAGTGTCCATGAGTGACATCTATTGAAATATAGGCACAGTCCTTTGTAAACCTGCTATCTGCGGTTGACTGCATGCTACAGATGAAGTTATAGAGTTATGAGAGACCATATGGCCTGCAGCAGCAAAAATATTTACTGTCTGGCCCATATGGATAAACTGTGGCATAAAAGTGAACATACTCAAGAATCTGATGATTCTTCTGGGTATTTATTCAAAGGAAACCTGACATTTGTTTACAAAATTGGTACACAAGTGTTTATAGAGGCTTTAGTCATAACTGTCTACAACTGGAAACCCTAAAATCCTTTTACTGGTCAATGGATACATTGTATAATCTACACACTGGAATATTATTCAACAATACAAAAGAACAAAGTATTAACATAAGCAACAAAGGTCAATCTCAAATGTCTTATACTAAAGCCATCATTAAACTTGTTCTACATAGGGCTAAAGAGTAAATATTTAAGATTTTCTGGGTTTTCAAATAACCAAATAAGCATCTAGACTCCTATATTCTAAGAAAGGATCTACTTTATCTTTAATTTTGACTATGTGTCTGTGCACATGAGTGTACATGTCCATAAAAGGCCAGAGGCTTTAGATTCCCTGAAGCTGGAGTTACAGCCAGTTATGAGTAGGCAGTCTATTAATACGCAGCTTAAGATGGACATTACACTAACATGAAACTGTCTAAATCACAGAAACTCAGGAAGTTGGAGAGCATTACTCTGAAAGAGTCAATCTCCATAATGTCTGTGGGCTCCAATTCAAAAATACTTGATTTATTTGCATACTTCTGATCCTACTTCCTTTTTTTTTTAACTTTTATTTTATTTTATTTTATTTTATTTTATTTTATTTTATTTATATGAGCACACTGTAGCTGTCTTCAGACACTCTGGAAGAGGGCATCAGATCCCATCAGATGGTTGTGAGCCACCATGTGGTTGCTGGGAATTGAACTCAGGACCTCTGGAAGAGCAGTCAGTGCTCTTAACCACTGAGCCATCTCTCCAGCCCCTGATCCTACTTCCTTAAACTTTCCCTTTAAGAGCCCCTCACTAGCCCCCAGTATCAAGGTAAAATTTGGATGAGCCCTCCATCTTTTCATTAAGCTGACTTTTAGAATAAAAAACCATTATCCTAGCTAAGTATGGTAACACACGTCTGTATGCCAACACTCTGTAAAACCCAGTCCTGAGGAGGCTGGGATAAAAGGATCATGAGTTCAAAACCAGCCTGACCCAAACAGTGAGTCACTGTCTCAAAACAAACCTGCCTAGCCACTCATCCCAGCATTTGGGGGATGGGGTTTGGGAGACAGAAGCAGGCAGATCTCTGTGAGCTCAAGGCCAGCTTGGGCTTTAGGGTAAGATCCTGTCTCAAAGACAAAACAACCTTACTTTGACACCTTGTCTCTCAACTCAACTGGCTTGTCCTGCAGGAGGTGGCCCAGCCCATCTCACTGGGTTCCCAACCTATTCCTCAACCTTGCCTTTGACCCTGGGCCTTCACATGCTTTACTACTACATTCCCTTCACCTAAGCCACACTGGACTCCATCTGCCCCACACAAACCTTAACTGAGAGCAGAAAAGGCCTTGGTGCAAAGCCTGATGACCTCCTTTCAATCCCTGGGACCCACATGGTGAAAAGGAGAAAACCAACCCTTCTAAGTTATTCTTTGTCCTCAACACCTATGCACATGTATGCTTACTTAGACACGAATACAAAATAAAGAAATTAATTTAAAATATTTTTAAGAGAAACATTGATTAAACAAATTTTGCACATTCTGGAAAAATTTGAACAGTGTTTGGGTTTGGTGTCTATTATATGAATAAGAAGGATGAAAACAGGGCCTAACTTAGTAGTACAGGCCTTTAATCCCAATACTAAGGAGGCAGAGGCAGGCAGATTTTTGTGATTTCAGGGGTAGCCTGGTCTACATAAAGTCCCAGGACAGCCAGGGTTATACAGAAAGTCCCAGTTTAAAAAAAAAAGAAAACACTTGCTAAGATACTACTTCAGACATAATAGACTTGTTATCCTACTATCCCAAGATGCAGTTCGTCATGTGACATACCTGTGGCCCAGTAGTAAATATCCCAGTCATTGCTAGGCTCGTTAATCAGGCGATCGTAGAGGTTCAGCTGCTTTTCTGTCATGTTGTGCAGATATTCTTTAGCAAAGAGGCTAAATGAGAAAGAAAATGAGGTTGATAAGATTGCCTTGTCAAAGAGAAGTGACAACCAGAGCCTTCTTCCCTACTACCTGAGGAGAATGCAGTTCTCCAGCATCCCCCTCTTTCTGCTCTCATAGAGTAAGCGGGCTCTTTTGGTTTCTATGGATTCATCAGTTCTCTCCTGCCACGGAGGCAAAGGGATTTCAACCATGTCTTTTTGAGAATCTGTTGGGCTGTCACCTCTGTAGAAGCGTCTGAATAATGTCACACCAAGCAAAGGAGACAGCAGACTGTGCTTTGACAGTACCTGAAACAAACAAATCACAAACATCTTTATAAGACAATGATTACTATTACTGTTATTTAATCAACACATAAGGTGCTAAATGCATTAGATCTCACATAGCCCTGCTGATTTTGGTTCCTTTACAGTCAAGGAACCGAAAACCAATAAATCTAAGGCTTAGAGAGGACAGGCATCGAAACACCACAAATACATGCTCCTAAATTAGGAAACATCCACCTCTAGACAGAAAACAGAGTAAGTACTCCAGATGTGTGTCAACCAATCTTTCCAGAAACTATCACAGCAGAAACACTGTCTCCTTTTGCATTTCTTTAAAACTGTACAGCAGTTGTATTCTAGCCACTCACCTGTTGAATCCAGAGAATACCTACATCTCATAAAGACTCTTGTAGTGAGAATTTTGTTTCTTTCAAAAAACACAGAAATATTATGGGAACATGTTTTCACTTTAATCCCAGACGTAGGATACAAGGCTGCTTTAGATTGTCTACAACCGCTATGACTTCTCCAAGTTTATGATGCTTCAAATTCTGGGAACTTTTCAGAGGGTATATAAAGGCTAGAACCCTGAGAGGCAGGGTTGGTTGCTGTTTGTTAAGTAGTCTGTGTGCAAAGAAGAAACGACAAGAAGAAACTAGGTACTCTGACTTCGAAGATCAAACTTGCCCCAAGAAACTCAACACCCTTAATTGGCAGGAAGTAGTCTAGCAATAATGTCTTCCCCTTTCCCCTCTATCCTTTTTTCTCTCCCATCTAGTGTTGAAAAGGGTAGAAGAAAAGGGGTAGAGAAGGGTCGAAGAAAAACGAACCCACAAAGTAGTCAAAAGCTTGGCTACGAGTGGTGCCAACAATGGGCATAGGAAAATGGGAAATTTGATTTCAAATGGCATAGAGAAAATGGCAGGGGACAAAGGAATATTTTTTTTTCAATACACCAGCCAAAAAATTATTGCAGCTCCTTTCGCTGGGATAACCCCCGCTTTGTTTCCAGAGGGGATTTTCTGGTTTTTCTTCTTCCTATATTCCATTTCAATTAAAAAAAAAAAAATGGGAGAATGCTATGCAACTGGAAAACCTGGAGGTAGAGGTGGAAGCTCTTGGGAGTCGGAGGAGCACCAGAAAAGGGAGGGAGAACAAAAAGACCCAGACTCAGTGACTGAGCATGAGAGCGGGATGTTCCCCTGAGAGAAAAGAGGGAAAGAAACTGTGCTGGAAGGCAGATCCAGGCCCTGCCTGGGAATGCACTTTTGGTTTTCCCAAAGCCCTAGGCAGGGCAAGAAGCTGGGTGGGTAGCCAAGGGGAGGAGGCTATGCAGGGAAACAGGGTCAGAAAAAAAGATGAAACAGCCTGTTTCAAAAAAGAGTTAATCTTGAACTAACTGTGTCACCAGAGTTAAAGGAGAGATGACCCTAGGTTACAAGGTCATCACCATCAGTTTTTCCCAGTAGTTGCCTGCTAACGACAGGATGGCATCCTATAGAAATGATAGATCTAACACACTTTAAAGAGGCCATGATTTCATATGTGAATCATCTGCTTTATGTGAAACAAATTTCAAATTACTGGACTACTCAGAATTATTCCCTAAGACTGGAAGGGATTGGTGACAGCTGTACTAGATGCTGATCCACAACTGCAATGATTAATGTGGTAGAGGGAAGAAACCACAAATATTGACCAGTGAAATAGAGCAATAGGGAATGAATATTGTCAAAGACCAGCTGCTAGTTGAAGGACCACATTCAGACATACAAGAATAGATCCGGGGCTGGAGAGATGGCTCAGCGGTTAAGAGCACTGACTGCTCTTCCAGAGGTCCTGAGTTCAAATCCCAGCAACCACATGGTGGCTCACAACCATCCGTAATGAGATTGGATGCCCTCTTCTGGTGTGTCTGAAGACAGCTACAGTGTACTCATATAAATAAAATAAAATAAATAAAAAAAAAAAAAAAAAAAAAAAAAAGAATAGATCCCAAACCGGAGAGATGGCTCAGAGGTTAAGAGCACTGAATGTTCTTCCAGAGGTCCTGAGTTCAATTCCCAACTACCACATGGTGGCTCGTAACCATCTATAATGTAATCTGGTACTCTCTTCTGGCCTGCAGGTATACATGCAGGCAGAATACTGTACATATAATAGATAGATAGATAGACAGATAGATAGATAGATAGATAGATAGATAGATAGATAGAATAGATCTAATTTGATGGTGCTACTATAGAACAGATAGAATAGATCCAATTTGATGGTGCTACTATAGAACAGTGTCATTTAGCAGCTTTAAGACCTTGGGACAAGGAGCTGGAGAGATGGCTCAGAGGACCTGAGTTCAATTCCCAGAACCACACGGTTGCTTACAACCATCTGTAATGGGATCTGATGTGTCTATAGACAGACAGCTACAGTGTACTCATGTGCATAAAATAAATATATCTTTAAAAAAAAAGAGCTTGGGACAAAGCTGAGGAATCTGGGAAAAGGTCTATCTCATTTACAGAAATTATACAATGCTCTGGAAAAGCCTTCTTTTATTTTTTTCTTCAAAGATTAGTCTCTGCTGTGAAAAAAGTCGTATCAGACCCTGAGTCCAGGACCTCTGGAAGATCATATAGTGCTCTTCACCTCTGAATGTGGCCCTTCACCTAGCAAGGTGTTGATAGGCACTTTGGCAAATGAAAAATGCAAATACAGAATGTAAAAAAGTTATCAGACCATTAAAGGCAGCATCCATGGGCAAGCAGATAAGAGACGTGATTGATATCAGTTCTCACGTGTACCAGGCAAGTATCATAGGACAAGTTATTACTACAGGTCTCCAGTATCACAATGCCTCATGCTTCAACTGTGGGAAATTTGGTCATTTGCAAGAAAAAAAAAATATGACCAAATGGCTAATAGTTTCAGATCTCAAAATGCCTGGTGCATCAACTGTGAGAAATTAACTGCACTTTGAACAGGAAAAATGAACCAGTCATTTCTAACAGCAATAGTTTTTCTAAATATAAACCAGAAATGAGGCCTAGGCTTCCAGGGTATGCAGGCAACGTGGCAAGGGCTACCATTGGAGCAATGAATGTAGGTTCAAAAGAGATACCTAAGACAATTTCTTAACATCCAAAATTTGGGAAAAGAAATGGACATTCAAATTCAAAAAGCCCAAAAGACCTCAAGTATCACAAACCTAAGAAGTCCAGAAGGCATAAATTGTCTAGTAAGTCAGAAATGTGCAGGTATAAAGAAAGACCACATGAGGGCACAATGAAAAAGTGGCTATCTGCAAGTCATAGAGTGAGACCACTAGAGAAAACAACTGTGCCACCATCTTCATCCTGGAATCCTGACCTCCAGAATGTTGAGAATATAAATTTCTATTGTAAGGCAGCTCCAGTAAATGAATACAGCATGCTGTGAAAATTCCAGTCTCCTAAGCCACACATAGCCTAAGCATTTTGGACTATCATCTCTAAGAAAATGCACTTGAAAATTCACTTTAAAAACATCTATATGTGTGCAAGATGGGTGCATGTATAGAGGTGAGAGGCATACCTCAGGTGTCAGTTCTTGCCCTTTATGTTTTTTTTGAGACAGCCTCTTTGTTGTTCTTGCTGTGTGTGACAATCTGGCTGGCCTGTGAACTTCTAGGGATTCTCTTGTCTCAAGTTCCCATCTCTTCATAGCAGCAGATGGGCTGGTCCTGAACCAGTTAAAGAACCAAGGATGACCTTACACTTTTCATCCTCCTGACACCAACTTTAGAGTGCTATAAGTATAGGCATGCATGCCATACTCTGTTGTATATGATGCCAGAGATCAAACCCAGGGTTTCCATGCATGACAGGTGTCGTGTAGGAATTTCCTCTAAGATAAAATCCTCTGCCTCCTCCTTCCTTTTTCTCTCTTTTCTTCTTCTATTGTAGCCCTTGCTGGCCTGGAACTTGACATCTAGATCTTGAACTCGGAGACTCTCCTGCTTCTGCCTTACGCTACCATGCCCAGCCAATACACAGGATGCTCTAAAGAAAAGTAATTAATACACCCTACAGGGATGCTCCTTAAGCTCGGGAAGCAAACAACTCAAAGGCTTAACAAAGTCTCTAAAACTAACCAGCTATACAAGGTCATTCCCTCTCTGCATATAACTTCGGCGGGTATCTGTACACACACAAACACCCTCCTCTGGCCTTCATGGGCACCTACACACATGGTATGCATAAACTCACAAAGGCACATAAACATATGTACATATTTTTTAATCTAAAAAAAAAATGAGGTTACAGAGCATCCAAGACTCTGGGTTTGGCGCTTAGCACAAACAACAAAATTGTCATATGAAATAAATAATATTATATAGTATTAAGGACTTAGCAGTAAAGCATAATAATCATAAATACATGTGGATCTAATAAAGCACTCAAATATATGAAAGAGACACTGATAGAACTGAAGGGGGAGAAAACAACAGATTTTAATGCCACATTTTAATATGGAATAGAACATCCAGATGGGGGAATCAATACTAGACAACCAGAACAATACTAATTTAAGTATATCTGATATATACAGACATTCCACACAAGAGATCATACAAGATGAATATGCCCAGGAGATTACAAGTTGTCATAAAACATGTCTTGATAAGTTTAAGATAAACCATACCAACTAGCTTTCAACACTACTGGAATAAAACCGGAAAATTCTCAAACATGCAGACATTTAAAAACAAAGATGAGACAGAAGAATTGTGAGTTTGAGACCAGCCTGAGTAACAAATTAAACCGGCTTTAAAAAAAAAAAAAAAAAAAAAAAAAGGGAGACGGGAGACCGCACTCAAGAAAGCTAGGCTTTCGAGGGAGGGGACATAAGTGAGATTTGCGTTGAGTCTCGCACGGTGACTGGCCACTTAACCACATGTTACCCAGTATTCTCACTCGAGCACATTGTGGGCTCGGTAAAGAACGGAAAATGACCTGCATGTTTAGTGCCAGTATGCGCCTCGCCTTGAGTGGACCTTCCCTGGTCTGTGGGGTAGGTGAACTCTCCCTACAGTCTCCACGGCACAGAGGAGGACGAAACAGTCCTAGCTGCCGCCCGCCCCGAACCCTAAAACTTCGGCTCTCTCACCCGCGCCAGCGTCGGGATCAAGGTGACCACCGCCATTTCTCCCTATAGCACAGGAAGCTGGCAACCGGGCCACTTCCGGGAATTCCGGGCGGTCGATCTGAGGACTTCACCAGTGTAGGTGGACCCCCAAGCCGGAAGGCGCTTCCTAGCGTATGGCGGAAGTAGCGGTGCGTGTGACGCCGCCGGTGGGGGGGCGGGACCTGGGGCGGAGAGCGGTTCGCGCGCTTCGGGCCTAGTCGGGACTCTCCGCGGCCGCCGCCATATTCCCGGTAACGGGGGCGCGCGGCCGGGGGCCTGCGGGGCCGGAAGGAGGGCCGGGGTTGGCGCCGCGGAGGGGAGGGGGTCGGTTGGGGTGGCGGCGGCGGCGGAAGACGGCGGGTGGAGGGAAGCGCGGGCCTCTGAGGGAGGGGCTGAGGTCCTGGAGCTGTGGGAGGGAGCAGGGCAGGCCTAGCCGAGGGCGAGGACCGGGCCCGGTTGGAGTGGAGGCGGCGGGAGCTTCCGGGCCCGCGGGGGGCTCCGGCTTGGGACGCCCCCTGGGCCTAGCAGGTGCGACGGGCTGAGCTTGCGGCGTTTGCCGCGGTGGTTCTTCACAGCGCGGCCTGAGGGCCCTCTCAAGAGTCGAGGCCTGGACTTGGCGGTGGCGCCATAGGCAGCTACGGGCGCCGGGTCGGCGCATCTCGGGTCGGGCCCGCGGGTGATGGGCAGCGAGCCCCGCGAGCCCGAGCGGCCTGGGAGAGCTGGGGGCGGCGCGAGGCTGGGGGCGGGGCGGAGCGGGTGGGGCCAGGCTCCGGGCTGGCGGGATGCTGCCTCTCAGGAGACTAGAGGTTGTTGACCCTTGCCCTCCTCCCAGCCTGGGACCCTTGTGCCTTAAAATTTTTTACCCTTTTCTGAATACCGTAGTGGCATCTTTCTTACTTTGCCCGTTCTCCGGGCTCGAGAGCGTATTTCCGGAGCCATGTCAGAAGGAGTGGATTTGATTGATATATACGCTGATGAAGAGTTCAATCAGGTGAGAGGAATTAGTAGCAGTTTTAGGTTTTCTTCCATCAGTCTACTGGCAGTTTATCAGCTCAAAATAATTCCCCTTTAGTATCGAAGCGTTTCCCCCTAGCGGAGGCTTTGAAGACGACTGACCATTCCTCTTTATGTTAATTTGAACCTCCAGGCTTCAATTTTAAAGGGTTTGCTTTAAGAGCAAATAAAAACCCAAGTGTAATAGAATGGTGAGTCAGCCTGTGGAATTGTTTCCCCAGTCATTCCAAAATTGAATGACCAACCATAATTAAAAATGAAAATTACATTTGTTGCATTATTGCGGGGATAATTTGATACTTGTTACTTTGCTATTCTCTTGGCTTGCGGCTCCAGAATGTTAGTCCCTCCCCCTGCTAGTCCCCTCCCAATGGTGTAGACAGTACAAGAGATAACTTTGAAAGACACAGTATACCAACTGCTTTAAAGATGGGAGTTCCAGCTCCACTCCGTGTTTTCAATCTTTTTAAATAGCTTGAGAAGTCTGTGGGCATTTTGGTATGGGTGGAAGGAAGGTAAAAACCATTGAATAAACTAGTTTAAAGGCAAGTCAAAGACTCAGCCATCCTAGTTTTGAATTTGTGTTTTTACATTTTAAATGTTCCTTAAAATAGTAATCTGTAAGGTTGAGATCTTTGATCTTGAGGTCGAAGCTCAACAGAAAGTTTCTATTTAAAACTTTTATCTTCCAGGTTCTCTTTAGCTATCCTTGAGCTAGCTGGTTCTTCTTATTGGTATATTCCAGTGGGTACACATAAGGACCTAGAAAGAATGGATTAGAATGCCTAGGTTGTAGCCTGACTTTGATAGGCAACAAAAGAGGCTCATATGTCCCATTATTTTATTTTAAATTTTGTGCATGTGAGTAGTTTGCAGGTGCCCAAGGAGCCTAGTAGTGTGGGGTTCAATGGAGCTGGTATTACAGGTGACCACGAACTACCTGATGTGGATTCTAGTAACCAGACTCCTCTGGACAAATAGAAAGTGTTCTTAACTACTAGTCTTGCTTTCCTGAGTTTTATGTGTTTGTTTGGGTCAGACTTTTGCCATTTGAAATTTATGGCTTTTTCATTAACAAGACTCTCTTAGTTCTGTATTACTGAAAGATACCCCCAATTCTGAATCTGTGTTGTTGACTGGTACTGCAACTAATTGACCTCGGAGAATAGACAGTCATTGACCATGGGCCATATTTGATCTAAAATTTAAAAAGTAATAAATGGTTTATAACTTAGGGGTCATAGACAAGACACAATTTTTGTCTAGTGGACATGACATGGTTTTGTCAAGGTACACATTATTACCCTCAGTAATTTGTTTATTAATTAACTTTTTAAAAAGGACCTTCTGTTCTAAAGCCAAAATTAGTTTGTGGACATTTATACTAAGCAGAAAATGCTTGATATGGGGAAAATTGAAGCAAGTATAGACTTTGAATGATTTACGTTCTAAAAGTTAAGAAAGGGGTACCCCATTTCCATAAGTGAATTTTTGGCTAAGTTGGTTTTAGTGTAATCTGCTAAATTATTTAAAGGTCTGGGTAGAGTTGTTAAAAGTTGGCTTAGATAGAAGTCAACCTATGTGAATTGGGTTTTTAAATGTCTTAGCAGACAGTTACTGATTTGTCCCAAGCTAGCCCTGCATACAACTCCCTCAGGAGCACTTTGGTCCCCGAGGAAAATTAGCACATTTACTATGTGGAACCCTGTGGTATTTGCTTCTGAACTCTGGCAGCATGTACTGCAAAAACCTTCTGCAGAGTTACTTTATTGCTGTTGCATTGGGAGTCCTGGGATTCATACTGTTCAATTAGACAGGGTCAAACTAGAAAGGTGACTGAGAACTGCTACTCTCCTGAGTTTTCTGTTTGTTCCTTCTCATGCTAAGATAGGCCTTATAAGTATACCTGGTTCTATGTCAGGAAGGATTTCAACTACTCCTGTAGGATTTACTACTGCCAGAGCTAGTGAGGTGTTGGGAAAGAGTGAATCTCTGTGCTGGAAAATAGGTGCCATTTGTAGTAGCTAAAAGTAAAAGTGATACTAGCTAGACATGGTGATATTCATCCATTCCCAGTGCTCTGAAGACTAGGGCAGGATTGCTACAAATTGGAGGCCAGCTTGGCTACAATATCAAAACACACACATAACAACAATGGACAGTAACAGTACAGAATAATGGGCAACAGAGATGGGGGGGGAAGTGTTGAGAACTATGGAGATGTGGTTATGAGGCCCAGAATTGATGCGGCCTTCTAAAAATCAAACAAAAAGTAATCAATAATCAAAATGGTTTTACTGAGAAAACTATATCCAAGTTAGTTACTTCATTGGGTCAGATTCTGAGAAGGAGCTAGAAGGTAGGAAAATTGAACATATTGGAGGGCAAAATCAAATTCCTACTAGGAAGTTTTATGACATAATACAGCTTTTTGTGTGTATCCTTGACAACAAAATTCTTAGTGAAATATTTATTCAATATTGAATACATATTTTCAATTTAAACTTAACAAAAATTTTAGCAATGCCACCTATAAAATATGGGTGTGTATTTGATTTTTGCTTCTTTTGTGGGATAGATGGGTTTTTGGTTTTTGTTTGTTTATATTTTTTGGTTTGTTGTTGTTGTTTGTTCTTTAATCTTTTTTTACAATCCAGTCAGGTAAGACAAGATTTCTTTCTCTCTGTAACCCTGGTCATTTTGGAACTCATTGTAGAGTAGACTGGCCTCAAACTCAGAAATCTGCCTGCCTTTGCCTCTGAAGTACTAGGATTGAGGGCGATTCCACCATGTCTGGCTACTGCTAGCTTTTTTAGATTCCATGGCTTGGATAGACCATTGAAACTTAGAACATTCAAATTCATTGGGTTTTCTGTCTTAAGTGTACTCTACACAAGCGAGGTCCTATAGGATGGATCCTTTTTTGTTCTTTCAGAAGTTTTTCAAAGAGCCCATTGATTGCCTTTAAGCCAACAGTATGAAAAGGTTCCCACTGATGTGTTTGCTCCCCAAGTTGAAGTCTTCATACTGGTTCACTGACCCTTTTTTTTTTTAACTAACCAGATCTCAGTGATGACTTTTGCCTTATAACTCTTAGATAAATCTTTGAATCACAGATACTGCATAAAAGGAATCTTAGTTTGCCAACTTTGAGTATATAAAATACTATTATTTTCTTATTACCTTTAAGTTTCATTTGAAAAATCTTTTTTTCTCTCTTTAAAAAACCTTGGTAAGTGGTATAAAATCTAGTTGTCCTTAATATCCTTAGAGGGTTTGTCTCAGGATCTTTCTCTGTAACAAAATCTTCAGGTGCTTAAGTCTATTTAAAAAAAAAAAAAAGGGCATGATGGTTATAATCCTGTACACCAGCTACTAAGGAGAATGAGGTAAAAGTTATCACAAGTTCAAGGCCAGTCTTGATAACTTGCTAAATTAGCCAGACCCTATCTCAAAATTTAAAAAATAAAAACCAAAACTATAGCTCAGTGGTAAAGAGAGACCTTTCCTAGCATGTTTATATGCTAGGCAGTACCCTTTGGAGAAGGTATTTGCATGCAAAATCTTCATGCATTCCTTTTACATACTTTAAAAAAAAGTCTCTAGATAATGACAGTGATTGTTTAGGCTTTGCTAACAGCAAAATCCAGGGTTTGCCTTTTGGTAGGCAAAATCTCTACCCCTGTATTTTTAATTTTATGTGTAATGGGTGTTTTTCGTGTATATATGTCTATATCATATGTGTGCATTGCCTTCAGAGGCCAGAGGAGAACATCAGATCACCTGGGACTGGAGTTATAGTTATTTATAAGCTGCCAGTGGTTCTTGGAATCAAACCCAGGTACTCTGGAAGAATAGCCAGTGTTTTTAACCACTGGGCTAACTCTCCTGCTCCCATCTTAAAGAAAATTTTGAAGGGTGTTTTCAGCTGGTTAAGTTTGGATGGAAAACTGATAGATGTGGAAAGCTAAGAATGGCTTCTGAGGACTAGAGTATTGAACAGGATAGAGTCATCAAGTCTTTTGGGAGGTGGGGTGTTTGTTCAGAATTTTGATGGTTGATTTTTATTTTTCCATTTGTTTTATAAATGGCATGTTTGTTGAGGTCAGAGGACAAAACTTGTCTTCCACCATGTGAGTTCTGGTGATTGAGCTCAGGTCACCAGGCTTGATAGCAAGTGTATCTCGCTGGCTTTCTGTTGTTTGTTTTGTTTTTTATAAGATAGTCTGGTACAACCCATGCTGGTCTCAAACTCAATATGAAGCTAGCTGTCAGCTGTTGATCTCCTTCCTCTACCTCCCAAATGCTGGGATTACTGGCACATGTGACCCTATGACCAGTTTCAAGTCCTTTTTTGTATCTCAGTCCACAAGGGCAAATCCTATACCTGACACACAAATACTGGAGCTTGAACCTAGAGCCTTGTGTGTGCAAAGCAAGCACTCTACTACAACAGAGCTATATCTCGAGTCCTCTACTCCTGTCTTTTTATGTTTCTTGGATGGCTATTAGAAAGCTGAGGTTGGGACTGGTGAGATGGCTCAGCAGTTAAGAGCACTGACTGCTCTTCCAGAGGTCATGAGTTCAAATCCAAGCAACCACATGATAGCTTACAACCATGCGTTATGAGATATGATGCCCTCTTATGGAGTGTCTGAAGACAGCTACAGTGTACTTACATTAAATAAATAAATAACCAATCAACCTTTGGGCCGGAGGGAGAAGGGAAGGGAGAAGAAAAAAGAAGAAAGCTGAGGTTGTATTCTGAGCTTGGACGTTTCCCTGGGTCATTTGTATATCCAAAGGATAACTCCCAGTTGTTTGATTTCTGTCTGTCTGTTTGTTTGTTTGTTTCATTTTGTTGCCTACTCATTTTTGCATTCTTTCCTCTGCTTTATATTTCTAGATAAATGTGTTCTTATTAAATATAATACTAATATATAACTTGATATTAAAAACATATTTTAATATATCTAAGATGTGGTCTTTGATCTAACATCACTGATCTCATGTACCTCAGGAAATGTATCTCGTTATTCATATTGGTTTGTTTGCTTATTTACTATTTCTTTGGTTCTCATAGGAGGCTAAACTCAAACTTGCCCATTACAAATAAAATCTTGAAATTTTCCTAAGTAATACTAAGAGTTTCAAATCCTAAGTCTTCTGTACCCTTTTCCTAGGGTGGGACAAGGAGGTATTGTACATTGCTTTACAAAGCGTTTAATTATAGGGTTCTAAGTCAGCTAGAATGAAGCAGAAGAGACAAACTGAAAGTTTGAAGACTCCATTATCAATCTTCCCTCTTTTAGGACTCGGAGTTCAACAATACAGATCAGATTGACCTATATGATGATGTGTTGACGGCTGCCTCACAGCCTTCAGATGACAGAAGCAGTAGCACGGAACCACCCCCTCCTGTTCGCCAGGAGCCTGCTCCCAAACCAAACAACAAGACCCCTGCAATTCTGTATACATATAGTGGCCTGCGGAGTCGTCGAGCGGCTGTCTATGTAGGCAGCTTCTCCTGGGTGAGCAAGGATAACCAAAAATCTTAAAGGTGGGCTGGAGGGAGAGCACTGGGAGGTGATGGCATTTTCAGAAACCACTGTTGCACTGTTTTGTGCTCTGATGGGGTTGGATTTCTTTTTCCTGGGATCAGGTTGGATTGATCTCTGAAAGAGAACTATCCTGAGGACGTACTGGTGCCGAAGAAAGCATTGATTAAGTGGGTAGTTGCCTTTTCTGCCATCTTATTACTGCCCCTGACCCTGGGGCTTTATGTCTAGCAGGGTCATCTATGGGACGAGATATCAGAGTGAACACCTTGAACTCTTGGTGGTCATTAGATGGTCCTGTGATAATGGTGGGTGATGGGGATCAAAGACCTTGATAGCTATAGTGTATTTGGGATATGTGCTAACTATTCTGTAAAAGTTATGGTGTGAGATGTTTTGGGGCTGGTGGTGGGGTGCCAAATCAGGAAATGTATATACTGATGGGAATCTTCCTGGCATGGTCAACTGTAGCCTGTCAGGTCTGTAATTAAAGTTGCTAGCAATCTGTTTGAAATGATGATCAACCAACTCATATGTCAGTCAAAATTAAAATAAATTTTAGTCTTAATCCCCAAACAGGGGTTGTGGGATTAAATGGGTTTAAGAGTTTAGGACTACAGGAAAAGCCTGCACTGATTGGAAATATTACTGGGCTTTGGGGTTTCCTGTGGGTGGTCATGGTTGTGGCTGGAGTCCTAGATTTGGGAACAGGAGTTGGAACATCTGGGTGGGTGGGTAGTAGGCATGTAGCTCTTGACATTTCTCCCTTTTCCATCTTGCCGGCCCCAGTGGACCACAGACCAGCAGCTGATCCAGGTTATTCGATCTATAGGAGTCTATGATGTGGTGGAGTTGAAATTTGCAGAGAACCGTGCAAATGGCCAGTCTAAAGGGTGAGATCTAGAGCTGGGGAGCCCCTTTGCATTTGTAGTATTAGGGTGACAGATCTAATATACATGTTTGAACTTGGATTCTAACCCACTTCCACCCTGGCCTAGCTTACTACCTTGGTTTTGACAAACTGCCAAAGATTTGGGACCTAGCTGGAATGAAATTGAACATCCGTCTGTTGAAGGGAAAGAATGTTAATTTTAAATTCCTAAAAGTAAGGACAAACAGGAAATCTATAGGGTGGCACCTTCTTGTTGCTGATAGGGAGTGGGGGTGGAGGGGTGTTTAAATAACTTAGCAGGATACCTTTTCCTTTGTCCAGTGTCTAAATGTTTTATTCCTTTTTTACTTTGTTTCCTTAAGGTATGCTGAGGTGGTAGTAGCCTCTGAAAATTCTGTCCACAAATTGCTGGAACTCTTACCAGGAAAAGTTCTTAATGGAGAAAAAGTAGATGTGAGGCCGGCCACCCGGCAGAACTTATCACAGTTTGAGGCTCAGGCTCGGAAACGTGAGTGCGTCCGAGTCCCAAGAGGGGGTACGTGGAGACCATCTGTATGATGGGGGGAGGTTGTGGGCTTGTCGCTGTGGAGGATTTGGGGCCAGGTTGGTTATGGTTTGGTGGCACAATTAGTGAGTGGGCCTAAGAATGAGATTTGTGTAAAGAAGACAGTGCTGGGAGTCAGGTTCAGGTTGTCAGTAGGTTCTGCCTTTTGACTCTTTTTCCTTTTGGCTTTTTGAACAATTCAGTTCACTTCTTGGGGCCCCTTTCCCATCTGAACTAAAAAAAAAATGGTTAAAGTTCCTATCACTGGTCAATTCTGTATTCTTGCATAAATGGGCACACCATGAATGAGCTTGCTTTTTAAGATGTGCTTCTCAAAAAGCAGACATCCTAACTGTAATTAAGGTATGATTCTATCGTGAATATATATTTGGTGCACTCTGCAAAAATCAAACACAAGAAGTATTATGTAATAAAAGTTAAGCGTTGTTTCGCCATTGTTGTCCTAGAGAAAAGGGAATGCTTACAGTTATTGAATACTTAGTTGGCTGGCAAGTATATCACATTAGTTTTTCTTTAAAATGCAGTATTCTGTTATCTTGTTCCCTTAAGTTCCTCTGACTTCCTCTAATCTCACCCTGTTCATCAATCTCTTACTACCTTGGTCTCCTACTAAGGCTCTCCTCCTGAGAAGAGGGTGCACTGACCAGCTGACAGGTATTCCAGTTTGCTTGGCAGTAAATACTTGTCATTATCAACTAATACATTACTATTTTGGTTTGTGTATCAGTTTGAATAGCATAATCCAGTCTCCTGGGGTCTGATTATTCCCTGGTGAATTACTAAAATCAGATTTCTAAACCTGAGGACCAGTCTTGGCTTATCCTGACTTCACAAGCAAGGTACAGCTACCATGCAAGGGCCTACCTGAAACAATCAGCCTCCTTTTCTTTCACTACTAGGGAGTGGGTGGTAGCAGAGCATTTCATCACATACCTGCTGTCACTACTTTGTACTTAGCTCTAAAACAGTAGTTCCTTGTGTTGATGGGGTATGTCCTTCCAGTGAAAATAGAGCCTCTTTAATGGAAACAACTGTCCTTTGTGTTGACAGCCTAGGACTTGTAACCAAATATACAAATCAATATTGGAACAGTACCTGAGAAAGTTGTTAACTGTTAGACATGCTTTAAAACCTGTTTGGTGTATACCAGCTTGAGAAAGGAGCAGGTTGTCGTGTTGTTTGAAACATAAGGAACAGGACCAGTATCAGACTGGCAATATCTGTTAGTGAAGAAGTCAAGATGGTATGTCTTGCAGTTAATCCCAGCATAAGCTTGCCTTGAGCATTGGCCCTAAATGTAAGTTCTAGTTTAAGAAGTACTCTGCTCCTCTGTGTTAGCTAAGAATCTTTCTATCTGAAAGTTTCTAAAGGCCATAATGTCATGATCTGTTGGGGTCTACTTTAACTAGGCAGAGCTAGTTCTTTGAATAAAATATAGATAGAGAATGACTCTGTCTCCTGCTTTTCCTGTTTGTTCTTCAGTTCCCTAACTAGAGCTCCATGGCAAAGAGAATGTTTCTAGAATTCAGCACAATAAAGTATAACTCGTAGTGGTCTTGAGTCTCTGAACTCTTGGGACCATAGGCTTCAAGGCAGGTAAAATCCAGCAGAACATCAGTGAGCATGCTTAAACATCATCATTTCCTTATGGGTTGTTTGGAGCATATATATTTATTTGAAAATAGGAAACAAGTTTAAGAGTTAAATGTCTTAAGCACTTTGAGGATCCTAGATGAGGACATTCATTGACATACAAGACTTAAGAGTGCTATTGCTTTTTGGAGTTGACTTTAACTAAAATACTTCTGTTCTTCTGAGGCCAATAGAAAGGCACCAGATCATTCATTTCTTCTCTCTTAGCTGCTTCACTTGTATTCTTTTATGTGTTAACAGACTTGCTGAGAGATGAGCTGGTCCTATTGCTAAATCCAAAGCCTGCCTGGGCAGTAACATTAGCTCTGTTTTGCTTTGCAGGAATACCTCCACGGGCCCACTCCAGAGATTCTAGTGATTCTGCTGATGGACGGGCAACCCCCTCTGAGAATCTTGTACCCTCATCTGCTCGTGTGGATAAGCCCCCCAGCGTGTTGCCCTACTTTAACCGTCCTCCTTCAGCCCTTCCCCTAATGGGTCTGCCCCCACCCCCAATTCCACCCCCACCACCTCTCTCCTCAAGCTTTGGTGTCCCTCCTCCTCCTCCTGGTATCCACTACCAGCATCTCATGCCCCCTCCTCCTCGATTACCTCCTCATCTGGCTGTACCTCCCCCTGGGGCCATCCCACCAGCCCTTCACCTCAATCCAGCCTTCTTCCCCCCACCAAATGCTACAGTGGGGCCTCCACCAGATACTTACATGAAGGCCTCTACACCCTATAATCACCATGGCAGGTAAAAACTGTTTTTCCCTGAAGCTTTGAGCCAGGATAATAGAGTACACATTTGTTTGTTTGTTTGTTTTTGAGACAAGGTAGACCAGCTGGCCTCAAACTCACCAACCTACCTGCCTCTGCTGCCTGAATGTTGGTATTAAAGTCCTGGCATCTACTACCATACCAAGCAATAGTAGACAGAGTTTTGTCGGTTGGTGGTGGTGATGGTTCATAGTTCCAGAGGCAGAGTGGGTTAACCTCTTGAGTTTGAGGATAGCCTGGTCTACAGAGTGACTTCAGGACAGCCAGAGCTACACAGAGAAACCCTGTCTCAAAAAACAAAGGGGATAGAGAGGTGGCTCAGTGGTTAAGAGCAGTGACTGCCCTTCCTGAGGACAGGGGTTCAATTTCCAGCACCCAATTGTTAACTCACAACTGTCTGTAACTCCTAGTTCCAGGGGGGCCTGGCACCATCACAAAGACATATATGCAAGGCAAAATAATAAATTTTTTAAAGAAGAAGAAACGAACAAAAAAAGCAAAGAGTGTTTTAGACATTTTCCATGAATGAGCACTGAATGCTGGTAGTTTTCCTGTATATTCTCACTATGATATTGAGTCCTGGGACATAGGTTAGTGTCTCCCGGAGGTTTGTTTTGCATGCCTGTATGTGCAGATGCACATGTGTATGCGGCTACATGTGTGCTTGTGTACACTTTCATGGGGAAGCCAAAGGACAACCTTTGGTGTCGTTCTCAAACATTCTGTCCACTTTGCTTGAGACAGTCTTTCATTGACCTGGAGCTCACCCAAGTAAACTAAAGCTGACTAGCCGGTGACCCCCAGGGATCCACTTGTCTCCTCTTTCCCAGCACTGGGTTATAAGCATGCTCCACTGTGTCTGATATTTTTATGTGGATTCTGAACATTTGAACTCAGGTCCTCATGCCTGCATGGCAAGCACTGTATGAGCTTCCCCAGCTCTGTCATTGTCTTTTATTTAGTGTTTTCTGTTTTCATCTTACCTGCTTGACCAAAAACATATTTTTCATAGCTCCATTTAAGCAGCTTGTTTAAACTCAGTGCCATAAATAACTGCTGCAAATGCTACAATGATTACTACTGTTGAGTTAAACCAAAATTAGGAACATATATGATATAAATCCTGTCCTTGAAGAAAAGAATGAACATTTAAGACATACCCAGAGAAGTATTGAATAATAGTACTATAGAATATGGTGAAAATAACAAAGGTTGTGGGCAGTCAGCTGTGTAATTGTCTCTCTGCAGCCGAGATTCAGGCCCTCCACCTTCTACAGTGAGTGAGGCTGAATTTGAAGAGATAATGAAGCGCAACAGAGCAATTTCCAGCAGTGCCATTTCCAAAGCAGTGTCTGGAGCTAGTGCAGGTAATTAACTCTTACTTTATTGCCTTTGCCTTAAATTTTTCCCCTTTGTCATATCCATCTGGAAAACTCTAAGAAGTTGAGTTGGAGTGCTGTTAGAGGTCAGAAGATGTGCACTTCAAAAGCAGTATGTGACTTGATTTCTTGGCTTTGGGAAAACTCCAGTCAAATGTCAAGACTTGCTTTGTAGACAATAACTCAGTTTCTTGACTATGAGTAATAGATACTATTTCCTGTTTGTATTTATTATGGAATGTAATTGCTGTCTCAGAGAGATCTTGATCTCAGAAGTGATCTTTAGACTTTGTGTTTATGCAATAGCTCCACCTCCAAGTAGCATTAAAAGCACTGGGGTTTTAGACGTGGGACCTCAACTAGATGGTGCTCTGTACCACTAAGAAGCCTGGGCAGAGCTGGTGGCCTGTGAATAGACTGTCCTCTGAAGGCAAGTCTGTTGTTACCTTAAGGTATAGTACCCTTTCGGCTAACTTGCCCTACTCTCAGCAGTACATGCAGAATCAGCAACTAGGATTCTGCAAGCCCTGGACATAAAAGAAGAGGATGCAGAATGGAAAGTTTACAGATGTACCTCAGTGGGTAGAGCAATGGCCTGGCATACTAGAACAGAAGGGTTTGGAATTCTGGTCCAAGTCATTCTCACTTTCTTCCTGCGGGTTTCCCACATGGATCTAAATGTAATATAGACTGTTAGTATTCAAAGAAGTAAGTTCAAATTGACTGTTAACCTGTTTTCCATAATTTCTGACCTCTGGTTTCAATTTGATTCTACAGAGGAGTTTAAAAACAAAGTATGTGTTCTTCTCAGCTCTTCCCTCATCAAAAAAACGTAACTTTACTTCTTAAATTAAAAATTAATGCATGTTCATTGTTATACAATACACAGAGGAGTTTAGAAGAAACCATCTTTGTTTCTTTTTCAATGTCAGTCCCATCACCCTGAGTTTTATCTCTCTCTCTCTTTTTTATTCCAATCATAGAAACTATAATATTTATTCTCTGTGCCTCTAAAACAGAACTTCCTTGCCTGTGTGGAGCTGATATGCCAGTGTTCCTGGTCCTTCACAGTGCCATGTTTTCTTCATAGTTTCTGTCCATTCTGTTCTTGTTACTTTGTGTAAAGGAAGCCACCCAGTTACTGTTTTCAGCAGACCTCTCTGTGGACTTGTTGAGTCAGGTACACATTTGGGAAATGAAAGGTTTAGTTATTGAAGGCAGCATGATTTTTTTTTTTTAATGTACAAGTGTAGGTATGTGAAAGAGAGATGATATTTTAGACAGTTTGTACACCACAATGGTCCCATAGAAATATATATATGGTGTGTTTGTGTGTGTTGTGTATATCATCGAGTGAAACCTTAGTTTATGTAAGTACACTCTGTGGTGTTTCAACATTGATGAAACTACCCAACAGCAAATTTCTCAGTGTGTTACCCTTTCATTGAAAACTATATTACATATACAAATAATAGTGTGTATATTTTATATATACGTGTGTGTGTGTGTGTGTCTGATTATAAATTTAAAATAATGTATAGATTCAGACATAGTGTCAACGCCTTTAATTCCACCACTTAGGAGGCAGAAGCAAGTGAGTCTCTGTATTATGCAGTGAGACCCTGTCTTGAAAAAAATAATATGTAGACTCAATACTGTGTTTAAGAAAAAAAAAATGAATTTTATGTGAGGACTACCAAGACTACCTTCTGAATGGTGGGTATTCCTGCAGTTTTGGGGGATGAGTACACATATCACAACATATGTATAATTTTGGTTATTTCTTACAAAAATGAACTGCAAGGCTGGATGTGTAGCTTGGTGACAAATCAGTTGCCTAGTATGCTCAAAGCTCTATGAGTTCAGCACCCAGTACCACACAGGAAAAAAAAAAAAGCAGTATTTATCTTTTGCTTTCTATATTTTAGACACCTATCTTATTAATATAGCTTAATTCTATTACTTGTTGAGACCTCCTGTGTGTCTAACATTGTGCTAAACACTTTTAATAGATGATCTTTTTGCTTACAGATTTATCTCATCAGTTTTCATAATTTATCTATGAAGCCATTGTTCCTTAGTTGATGTAGCCTAGCAAAGATAAAACAATAAACAATATTATTAAAACGTGGTTAAACATACATAGTTGTGTGAACAGAAAATTTTTAGAATTGTTGGCTTAAATAGTTTATTTTTGGGCAGTGGTGGCACACGCCTTTAATCCTAGCACTTGGGAGGCAGAGGCAGGTGGATTTCTGAGTTCGAGGCCAGCCTGGTCTACAGCGTGAGTTCCAGGACAGCCAGAACTACACAGAGAAACCCTGTCTGGGAAAACCAAAAAAAAAAAAAGTCTCTTTTTTGGGCTGGAGAGATGGCTCAGTGGTTAAGAGATCTGAATATTCTTCCTGAGGTCCTGAGTTCAATTCCCAGCAACCACATGGTGGCTCATAACCATCTGTGATGGGATCTGATGCCCACAGCTGTAGTATACTCATACACATAAAATAAATAAATAAAACTCATGTACATAAAATATATAAATCTTTTAAAAAAAAATAGTTTATTTTTTAAACTTATGTGTGTTTTGCATATGTATATATACCACATACATTCCTGGGATTCAAGGGGCCCATCTGGTTCCCTGAAACTAGAGATATGAATGGTTGTGAGCCATGTAGGTGCTGGAAATCAAACCCAGGTCCTCTACAAGAGCAACAAGTGATTTTAATAGCTGAGCTATCTTTCCAGCTCTAGGACAATTTATTTTCATCGGTATTGTCAAGTGGCCCTTGGACAAGAATGCACTCACTAATTATAAGGCCACTAGAATATGTCAGATTTCATACTAGACTACAGCTGTTACTCAGTTTCATACCTACTATGTCTCCTTTGTCCATTTTACTATGGCTCTTTAGAGACAATTTATATCCTCCTGCATTCTCCTTTTGGTCCAGTTTGGTTGCTGCTTCTGCTCATCCTTGGCCTTTCTCTCCATCCTATCAGGGGATTACAGTGACGCCATTGAGACACTACTCACAGCCATTGCAGTTATCAAACAGTCCCGAGTCGCCAATGATGAGCGCTGCCGGGTCCTCATCTCCTCTCTTAAGGACTGTCTTCATGGCATAGAGGCCAAGTCATACAGTGTGGGTGCCAGTGGAAGCTCTTCTAGGTGAGTTGGTTGCTTTGGGCTCAATTCACATCTTTTCTCTTCTTTCTTTCTTCCTTTCTTCCTTTCCTTTCTTTCTTTTTTTTAGAATTATTTATTAATTTTATGTATATAAGTACACTGTTGCTGTCTTGAGACACACCAAAAGAGGGCATCAGATCCCATTGCAAATGGTTGCGAGCCACCGTGTGGTTGCTGGGAATTGAATTCAGAACCTCTGGAAGAACAGTCAGAGCTCTTAACTGCTGAGCCATCTCTTCAGCCCCTTACATTCACATCTTTAAGGAGAAAAGATTAATGAGACATTTTCATTAATTAAGTATTGCTAATGTCTACAACTTTCGTTCAGTAGAGGCAGTGGCCTCATTTAGGAGAAAGAATCTAAAAAAGAACATAGGCTTCAAGATCAGGGGACATAGCTCAGTGATCAGACTTCTTGCCTAGCACATGAAGCCGTAGGTTCAGTCTTGACACCATGGGGTCAGGGAATTGGGAGGCTGGGGCTAGGTGGACACATGGGGATTTTAACCATTTGGCTTAGGTTTGAGTCTCAGTTCTGTTGCTAATTATCTGTATGGCCATCTTGAGTGTGGAAGTTAGCAACTTTCTGAGAACTTAAGGGGAGAAGTCCTAGTACTTGGCTTTCAGACCTGTTGTAAAGGTAAAATCATAATTGGAAAATTCTAAATAGTCTGTTCAGTACATTAGAAAGGTCTGTCAGTCATTTCCCCCCAAAAGATTAAGCATCAAGAAGCTAAGATCCTCCGACAGTGTCCCTATGATAGAGAAGACTTTAGGCAAACATTGAGAGATACAAAACCTCATTTGGAAAGAATGTGGTGTGGGCCATTGGGGTTGAGGCTGAAGGATGTTTCTGACAGGAAAAGACATCGGTCCAGGGAGAGGTCACCCAGCCGGTCCCGAGAAAGTAGCAGGAGGCACCGAGACTTGCTTCATAATGAAGACCGGCATGATGATTATTTCCAAGAGAGGAACCGGGAGCATGAGAGACACCGGGATAGAGAACGGGACCGGCACCACTGAGAAAGGTGGGAAAGAAGCCCTGTTCCTGGCCAGTGGATTGTATGTGAACTGGGTATGGTGGCTCATGCCTGTAATCCCAGCACTTGGGAGACCAATGCAGGAAGATTGCCATGAGTTGAAGGGCAGCCTGGACTACAAAGTAAGACCCTGTCTCAAAACAAAAAAATTTGTAATAGAAATGTTCTGCCCTCCTCCCTCAAGTTCTTAATAAATGAAAGCCATTGTTACTATCATTATCAATAATAATATCATGTATTATTACATTTAAATCCCAGTTTTCAAGTAAAAGGGAAAACTGATCAAGGCAGAAGAGATTGTTACCTTAGTTTTTCTGATAAAATATTACTGACTTCAAGAATTGATATCCATTAAAAGCTTTAGAGTAGAAAACGATTCTGAAAAATCTTTAACGGCTTTAGAGATGTTGAGATATTTTTGGTTTTAGTAAGTTTTATTAAAGGTGGGAGTTTTGAGGAATTGGTGTGGATGATTAAAAAGGTAGGTCAGCTCTTCTGGTTCAGGGACTGCCTCAGCAGGATTTGGGCTTCCTGTCCTCAGCTCTGCTTTTCTATATTTTCATTCACAGAAAGCTCTCCATCTTGGAGGATGAGCCTGTGACTGTTGAGTTTTTATCACACTATTTTGCAATCCCAACTGAAAGCTACTAACAAGGATTGTTTGAGGTGTAAGAAAGAATGGATGTTGGTTCTGTTTCTGTGGAGCTGTATAAAATAGACTAGAATATGGCTAGAAGGATCTACCTGGTCTGTTACCTGATTGATTGTTCTAAAGTAATATATTTGAGCAGGCTCTGTAGTTCTTTTTTACTTTTATTTTATATACATTAGTATTTTGTCTATATGTATGTCTATGTGAGGGTATCAGATCCTCTAGAACAAGAGTCACAGACAGTTGTGAGCTACCATGTGGGTGCTGGGAATTGAACCCAGGTCCTCTGGAAGAGCAAGAGCAGCCAGTGGTTTTTTTTTGTTTGTTTGTTTGTTTTGTTTTTGTTTTTCGAGACAGGGTTTCTCTGTGTAGCCCTGGCTGTCCTGGAACTCACTCGGTAGACCAGGCTGGCCTCGAACTCAGAAATCCGCCTGCCTCTGCCTCCCAAGTGCTGGGATTAAAGGCGTGCGCCACCACCGCCCGGCTGGAACCCTCACTTCTTATGCATTTTCATAGGTCTTGGTAAACTCAAACCTTTTAAAAAGTCTGTAAAACTCTGCATAGGGACAGCCTCCTAACAGACAAGAAAGCATTACTTTTGTGTTTGCCCTCTGTGTTGTTAGCTTTATCTGCCTCAACCTCTCTGGGTCTTTTGAGACAGGGTCTCTTTATGTGGTCCTGGCTGGCCTGGACTCCTTATGTATACCAGGCTGGCCTGGAACTCAGAAAATCCCTTCCGCCACTGCCTCTTAAGAATCGGTATTAAAAGCAGCCTGGCACTTAAACAGACTTGTAGCTGAGGATGTTTTGTCATCTTCTACAGAAAGTAAATGGAATGATAAAAGTGACTTTCAGTTTATACCTTTGTCTGTTCCTTTTTTTTTTAAGCTTCATGCTTCATGATTCTTTTTTTTTTTTAATCTTTTAATATTTTTCACACAGTGTATTCTGATTATGGTTTCCCTTCCTTTGTCTCCCCCCAGATCATCCCACCCATCAAATTCCGTGCCTTATTTCTCTATATATTTAAAAAAACAAATAGGCTTTCTCTGTTCTTATCTCACAGAATTATCAAATGTAGGATAACCCGCATAGAGCCAGCAGCTAAGCTCTGAATGGGTTCTGTGTTTGTCTCTAGATTTTTGCAATGGGTTGCGTTTTGAAAGGTGTCCACATTAATATATATAGCTTGTAGAAATGTAGGCTAATGAAGATGGAACCCTCAAGTGGCTTTGGCCTTCCTTCTTGTTGGGGCTGGGCAAGGTGGGCATGGGTGTCTTAGTCTATCCCTTTATTAAGGAGCACCATCAATTCTCTTTTGAGCTAGCACAGTTGAAGCATTACTTAAAATCCAAAACAGCCAGCACAGGGTGTTGTGATCAAACTTATAATGCTAGTACTCAGGAGGCTCAGACAAAAGAATTACAAGTTCACGGTCAGCCAGGACTATATAGTAGGACCTTGTCGTCCCCTCCCCCTGCCCCAAAAAAAATCACCTCACATGATGGTTTATGGAATTGTGGGGTATTGGTATGTAGTTTTTGGAATTGGTTGGGACAAGAGTAACCTGGGAGAGCCTGGGCTGGTGGACACCCTTAATCCTAAGACTTAGGAGGCAGAGGCAGGCATATCTCAGAGTTGGAGGCTACTCTGGTCTACAAAGCAAGTTCCAGGACAGCCAGCTACACTGAAAAACCCTATCTTGAAGAATAATAATATTTTTTTTTTAAATGACCAGAAGGAGAGTTGTTACTTGGTCTATACAAAGCAGCAGTTGTAGTCTCTAGAGCCTTATTTGGTGTACTTTACTAGCATAGATGACTGACTATCACCATTCTGGTGGATTTGCTCCTTTGATAACCTTTTGGTAGTGAAATTGTCAGCAAGATTCATTGATCCATCTGGAAGTCCTTCATTGGTAGTTACAGAAAACATCTATTTGACTGGTACAGGCCTATGGCAAAATAAGGGAAACTCACTCTTGGGTAAATTTTCTATATCACTTCTTTCCTGGTCTCCCATAACATATGTGTACAAGTGAATCAGATGCTTTAAAGCGATTTCCCTCTTTTGAGAAGAAAAAAAAATCATCTTTAATTTTCATGGTAGTCTGAATTCTATTTTCATTTACTAAGTTGTAAGAAGATTTCATGTTGTATACAGATCTGTGTAAAGAACTTAATCCTCCACGTGATTTGAACAGCATTGACAGCATCTTTACTTACAAACAATTGTATTTCTGTCCTGTGAGTAAGTGTTCCCTGATCAGGAAAGGCATGTTTTGTGCAGAGGCTACAATGGAACAGCAGCATCCTCTTCTGTTTCTCAGGAGAGGGCCCCAGCTCTGGGGTTTGAGACAGAAGGGCCAACTGAAGTGAGAGATCTTTGACTTCTGTATGCATTCAGACACTACTGCCAACACCAGTTCCCTTGATGTACCAGTTATCCTGTGCATCTCATTCTGTAAGGACACTTCACAAATGCCATTTCTTCAAGATATGCATGTGTATGCTTTGAAGTTTTGAGGGTATACCTAAGTGGTCTGTGTGTTCAACTCTCTGTAACTGTCCCATTATTTTAGGGTGTTTCTTACTTGAAATAGAATCATCCTCACTTCATCCATAATCTCCTGATCCATTGAAAACTGAGCTTTCTGTTCAGGTGTGATTGAGTTTAAAGATTGAGCCAGTTGTGATGATACATACCAGTAATCCCAACACTTGGAAGACTAAGGTAGGGAGGTTGGGTCTTGATTTCAAAGCAAGCCTAAGCTACAGAAGCCTGTATGTTAGGAAACAAAGAAGGCACTAAGAGCTTCAGTTTTTCTTTATAGAAACTGAGACAAATACTTGCACGTTTGGAGAAGCCAGCAAGGTAAAGATCATTCCAATTCTGAGTAGCAGCTAAGAATAGTGCCAGCTCAGGAGGCAGCATGCAGATCTCTTCTACATAGCATATGTGTGTATATCTTTTTGGATGGCTCTTTCTCTCCCCCTTCCCCCCACACCCAACCCCTCCCCCCAAGACGGGGTTTCTATGTGTAACAGTCCTGTGTCCTAGAACTTGCTCTGTAGAGCACGCTGGCCTTGAACTCCCAAAGATCTGCCTGCCTCTGCCTCCCAAGTGCTGGGATTAAAGGTTTACGCCCACCACTGCCAGGCTTACGAAGCTTCTTTTCAAAGGTATTTTTATAAAGGCTAAGCATTTGTGTATGTCTGCAATTCCAGGTTCAGTTAGTAAAACTGTCTACACCTGAATTTAATTCTCCTCTTTCCGTTTGACCTTTGGTTCTATTTTATATCACCAAGTGATATAAAACATACTGCCATCTGGCAATGACATGTGAGACATGTGAGCTGCCCCTGGTCCTCACTGCAGAGACATGTGAGCTGCAACAGGTTTCAGGTTGCTAGGGACCTTAAGATTAGCAATGTGACAAAAGACCTAGTAGAGCTTTTCTATTAGGTAAGGCTGTCAGATGTTTTTGATAACTACTACTCTTTCCTTCTTCTATGCTCTCCTTTTAGTTCTTGGACAGGTCATTCAGGTTTAGTGTTCTTGTATTTTTGAGTCCATACCCACGACTATTAGATGGAGAAAGTCTTAATCATTTGTATTTTATTCAGTACAGCCTGGAACAGCTCTTGTGCTGTGTGTCTTATGTGCACATGAATAAGTTTTGGAATCTGTGTTTTGGTTTGATTTGTGGGGTTTTGGTTGGGGTATGTGGGGTGGGGGGGTGGTTTTGTAGTCTGTTTTAACCATGGCTACTTGAAAACAACAGGTATTGAGGAGTTTGCAGTGGAAGTGCATGCTTCTTGCTAGGATCTCTTGGGTACTAGGGGATTGATGGATTTGGTTAAATACACAACTTGGTATTTTGCTATTGTCCCTCCCATTTCTTGCTTTCTTTTCTCTTCTTTTCTTTCTTTTTTTTTTTTTTCCTTGCCCTTAAGGTAAGCTATGACTTCCTCAGAATAAATTTTCTGAACCTGTTTCCTTAAAGCAACATTTCTTAAAATGTTAGTTTCTGACCTTTCCCAGCTAAAATATTCTCAAACTGCTTTCAGAAACCTTATTCCATTGTCTATTTTTTTCCTCTTAACCTAAAAGTGATATGCCACCGTTTGGGGTTTTTTTTTAATGTCTTCACTGTGCTTCTTGCAGGCACTCCCTCACATTATTTGTGCCAGACAACCCACATTATTCTACTTTGCTAAGCTTGCTTTCTCTGCCTGTATTCTGACTGAGGTTGTGATTTCAAGAATTGCCAGTTTATCTCATATAAGCCCCCACTGATGAGAGAGTGGCCTCTAACTAGTGTTCTCTTCTGGTGCTTTCATTGCAGGAGTCTGGGTGGAAGCAATTTGTTTTTAATGGACTTGCATCTCCTCACCTTGATCAGGACTAAAGAACGGAGGCCGCTCCACCCCTTTCCCTTCTTTCAAACCCCTAACTTCCTCCAGGCAAAACCCCTGCCCTACAGGATTGAAGATGGCTTGGCAGCCCTCCCAATCCCACACCTCCTGTTTGCCAGGGGGGAAGAACCTTAAGACTTGCTGGGGTAGGGAATGAGGGCAGACAGGAAGACAGCAACATGTCCGGCCCATAGTCTCCATAGAGAATGGTGCTTTGTCCAAGGAAACCTGAGTTTCTGATTGCCCAGGAGCAGTCAGTGGTGAGGTTACTGAGAGAAAATTTCCTTCCCAGAGAAAATGGATCCTCTATATGGGATCTTAGGAAAGTGACTGGGTGTGCCAAAAATGCCCAGGGTTCTGCCCTCACTACTAGATTTGATGGGGCCAAGAGGGTCCAACCCTGCTAACATACCACTTTGTTCAACTCCTTTACTTTCCTAGCCAATTGAGGAGGGACCATGAGAACAGAAACTACCCTGTGAGAAGACAAGTGTTCTCAGTTTTCTCCTCACATATTGACGGTTTATTTCCCTGGCCTCCTAGAGGGCTGAATCCTTTTGACTCCTTGCTATCTGACTCCTCAGTGGACTTGCCCCTCTGAAGCAGAACCCAGGAGGTTGCTATCTGCCGGAAGCCTAGGCCAGCCAGATACCACCATTTGCTGCTTCAGGCTTGTCTGTCTGTTGCAATAACCAGCTCTTAGGTGTTTCCTTTCCCTGAGGCTTTCCATTTAACATGGAATCCTTCCCCAAGAAGGCTTCTTCCTTGTTTTAGAGGAGGGTACTGCCTTTTTGGACTTGGGGATGTTGTGGGACCTCAGTAATGAGGACCCCCTAGTTAATAAAAGTACCAGAAGTGTGGGGAAGAAAGCAATTTGAGCAGTATGTAGCCTACTCACATGGGCTCTTTTTCAGGTTTGATGTAAGCATAGGCTTGCATTTCCAAGGTACATACTTTGACTTAACTGTGGGATAACTCAGCACTAATAGGCAGGTAAAGTCACAACTGTGAGTTTTTGTTTTTGTTTTGGTTTTTGGGGGTTTTTTTTTTATCCTTTTACTCTGATACTTTCCCTGTCACATTGCCTGGAGGTGATTCCAGCCTTTAACAAGGAGCAGAGAAGAATTGGAGCCAGACTTTAGTGAACTCAGCTCAGAGTTGTAAGGACCAGCACCCTGGTGACCATTTTCTGCACAAGCAAATGGAATTGCTTTTTAAGCATCCAAATTGTGATAGGTTGCTCCTGATAGAGGTAGCCACAGTCCTGGAATACCATAGGGTGATGTTCTTTCTGCATGCATCTGCAGAGCCTGTGAGATCTAATGTGAAAAGAGACGCGACATGTGAGATGGGACTTGGTATGTAAGGCATAGGGTCATTGGAGACTCTTCAGACTCAGAGGGTAGGGGGGAGGGAGACTGAATTGGATACTTTCTCTCTTCCCAGCATACTTCTGATAGACCCCTTCAGTCACTGAGGGAGTGCCTCCAAGGTTGGAGAGACATTCCCTTTGGACAGAGGCTACAAGTTGTGGCTTATTTTCCTGTCCCCTAAACCAATCCCTATTCCACCAACATGGCACCCAGCCAGATTGGCTAAGTGTTAAGTGATATGCTTATTCTTGAAAGCAGCTCAGGGTGTCTTTTTAAAATGTAGAAGAAAAAAAAAGTAAAGTGACAGTTAAGGAAAAACAAAATATAAAATATCAGAAAAGCTGTTTAACCAGAGAATTATTTTCTCCCCACTTTTATTTTAACTCAGTGACATAATTTTTAGTTTTATTCCACATGGCAAAAGGAGAAAAAAAATCCCAGTCCTCAAAAGGTCAAGGCCCTGTCCCCCTGTTGTCGGTGATTTGTTTGTCTTTCTGATAGGTTGGAAATTGTGTAATAAACTTGATGACGATGTCAATCTTTTATACTGCATTGTATTTTTTTCCTTTTGTAACAAAATATTTTTAAATAATAAATGGGGTGTGAGCTGTTTACGGATTCTGCATTGAATAGATTTGTTGAGGTGTCGGGCATGGGTACGAACTGATACAGGTCCTGTGTGATATAGGATAACCTCAGGTTCTTAAGTGTAACTTGATGATTGGCAGTGGTTTCTTTACAGCTGTAGCTGACATGGTGAGCCCCCTAGGAGTCCAATGTGAATCTTTCTTTACTTGTACCTCTCACTGTTTGTCCTTTGTCTGAGTTAAGGAGCACTTCTAAGTCATCCTGACCACTCACAGTTCCCAAGTCTTACTTGCAGATTGTGTTTCCTACCCTGTGGAGTTCTGGTAGTGTCCTGTTTGGGAAGAACACTTAGGTCCTCCATCTCCTTTACCATAGACAAGCAATGTAACCTCAGTCTCTCATCAAAAATGAGAATAATTGCTGTTCTGCCTTCATATTAAGGATATGTTTTGTGGACAGAATTGACATTTAAATTTGAGAAGTAGAAACTAGAAAGCTTAGAAGTACTCGGGGATTTCCAGAAGAACTTTCCTTTTAAAGCAACACAAATAAAGACCCACTGGCAAAGTAGTAGCATCTTACCAATTTATCATTTGAACACAAGGGATTGAAGTACTGAAATGTCACTACTACCCAAGGATGTTACTGAGCTGGTCTCTAAAACTCAACTTTGTGTCTAAACCTGAATGGAGGAATCCGATTCAGCATCTGTCATAAAAACAATCACCTGGTGTTTTGTTGTTGTTGTTGTTGTTTGTTGTTATAGTCATTTTTACATGTACTTATTAGTGCCTGTGTGTCTGCTTGCCTTCATGCATGTACATAGGCATATGTCTGGAGGTCAGAGGATAGCTTGCAAAGTTTGTTCTCTTTCCACCTTGTGCTCCTGGGTAATCAAACTCTGGTCAAGCTTGGTACCTCAATGTACTGAGCCATCACACTGACCCTTTTTTGTTTGTTTGTTTTCGAGACAGGGTTTCTCTGTGTAGCCCTGTACTACTCACTCTGTAGACCAGGCTGGCCTCGAACTCAGAAATCTGCCTGCCTCTGCCTCCCAAGTGCTGGGATTAAAGGCATGTGCCACCACCACCCGGCTGGCCCTTTATTTTTTAAGACAGTCTTTTATATCCCAGGTTGGCAATGAATTCCTGAGCCTCCTGTTTCACCTACACCAAAGTGCTAGGATTATAGGCAAATACTACCATGCCCAATTAAGTCACTTTAACTTTTTTTTTTTTTTAAGTGAAGGGTAGAATTATATGACAAAAAGTGCAGTCCAGATGATAGTGTGTATTGATATCAAGAAAAGCAGATAAGCTTAAAATTTTTCGTTAGAGGAGCTAGAAAGTTTAGTAACTTACTGCTGAGATGTGTGTTTTCATGTTGGAATCAATAATCACTTGCATCTTAGTTGCCTGCTGTTTGCTAAGTGCTGGGTTTGCTCCATCTAGTTAACACTCCAGCCATCTACTTTTTATGCCTCCAAAGATGTACTGTCTCAGGATGTTGGTGCCTCCAGGTAAAGTAGCTTGCCTCTTAACACCCACAGCTTGTAGCCACACTCACTTTCCAGTCCAGATAATTTTAACACTGAAAAAGATGAAACAGATACAGTGGTATGCCTACAATATACCATTGGGAGTTTGAAACAAGATCACTTGAAACTAACCATAAACATGAGGCACATCCCTAACTTAAATGTAAAAACATGTATGTATTATATATAATGTTTGCTTCATGATCACAGCAAAATGCTTGGTCTGTGGAAAAGCTTCTGGAGCTGTCTTGAGACCCCCCAAGGTCTCAAAACTGTGACCCTCTCGCCTCTGCTTCCAAATGCTTGAGACTAAGGTATACCACTGCATCCAGCCACTGCCTTGGTCTCTCTTGTGTATGACTAAGTGGCTCCAGCAGCATCAAGAGCATGGGAACCAGTGGACTAACTAAGCTTCCACATAACTGAGGTGAAATGTCATCCTATCCTAATCAGCAACTTTAGTCATTAAACTTCATCCTCGGTGGCAATCTGGGTATACACCACCATGCCCTGGCTGGGTTTACTTTGTTTAGACTGACTTGTAAAACAGGCTTATATTCCCAAAGGTGCCTTTACTTCCTCACCTCTAAGCCTGTATAGTGGAGGAGTACAGTCTCTAAAGCCCCTGTGCATTTTAAAAACTGGAAGTATAAGTCACTTCCACTTAGCTGAGCTTTCTATTCATTTGTTATTGTTTTGGTTTTTTGAGACAGGGTTTCTCAGTGTAGCCTTGCCTGTCCTGGAACTCACCTCCCAAGTGCTGGGATTAAAGCTGTGTGTGTCACCACAGTGCTTTCTGTTCATTTGTGCTCCTGGGAAAGAAGTTGAAATTGATAAACATCTAAATGAAGTCAGGAAGTCATAGAGAGTAGGTTCCTCTATTCTGTGCCACTAACCAGAGCAAAGCTAAAGAAAGCAAGTGTGAGAAGCAGAAAATTGGTGTTCATAAGATAGGAGACTGAAACACCGAGGAAGTACCTATTAGACCCTTTTGTTATTTTTTCTGGTTGTTCTGTCCACCGTAGTCTCAAAGACAACTAAGATGCAAGGACACAGAGAAAACAAAAACATTTTGGGCTGTGGGACCCATAAAATAACAGCTTTCAGAAAGCTTTAAAAAAAAAAAAAAAAACAGCATAGGATCCTCCTGACACAGAGACTGACCTCAGGGCTTCCTGAAGTAGATTTCTTACTACACTAGCCTATGCTGGAAAGAATTTAGACACAAGGAGACTTGCAGAGACAGTGCACTTACCGTCTTTTGCCAAAGAACTGGAGAAGACAAAATGACAGTGCCTTTGGGATTCAGGCTGCAACTTGGGCATGAGAGGATGAGAGGAAAGGATTGGTGGGATGCCCCATGAGTGTCTGTGTCACAGCTTACTACTAAACACAGATTCAGAAAACACTAAAGAGATAAAACCTAAAGAGGCATCATAGGGAAAAAACAACCAGCCCTGTACCAGAAAATATTTTTTATTAAAAATTTTGTGTTTGCTTCATGATCAGAATAGAAAAATACTACTATGAACTACTAAATGGGCTCTGAATCACCATGTCGTTGAGCAGGATTGGGGTTGAGGAGGGGTGGAAAACACACATTGGAATCAGCCCAAGAGCCCACCGTTTTGCGGCTTTCCATGGTCATGTAGGATAGATGTGCATGGTGCCGTGGCTCAAGTTCTGCTGGAAGCCCAACAAAACTAGATGGTCCACACAAGGAGCTCTGGCCATGATGACCACAGAAGAGAACGTGAAGTCATTAGGAAGCTGTTAGAAACACCAAGATGGGGACAGCCTTGCCCCTCCCTACAACAAAAGGAAAGAGTCTCCTGCTGATGATCCTGCCTTAAAGATGGTGCCACTGGCCTCAGGTAATGTCTGTGCTGAAGAAAAACCACACAAACGTTTCCCAGGTCAGCTCAACCTACCACTGTTCACAAGTGTGGCTGAAGTACCAGATGGATATGTGTTGTCACCCTGATGGACTACCAGCTGGAATTCTTGTACTTCAGATCCTGTCCATACTAAAGGTAAAAAGAAAAAAAAAAAAAAAACAGTTAAAAGACCAGTGAGTAGGGCTGGAGAGATGGCAAGGCAGTTAAGGGCATTGGCTACTCTTCCAAAGGGCCTGGGTTCAATTTCCAGCATCACATAACAGCTCACAACTTTAACTCAAGTTCCAGTGGATCTGACTCCTTCACACAGGCATACAGGCAGGACCAGCACCCATAAAAGGAGAAATAGGTTTCCTGGGGTAAGCTGGCTAGCTGCTCTAACCAAATTGAAGAGCTCTGGGTTCAAGTTGAAAGACCCTCCAATATAATAAGTTATGAATGGACTTGATATCATCAGCCTCTGGTCGGCACACACACACTTGAACATTTGTGTATACACAAAGGTGAAAATACAGATGCAGAACACATATACATAGAACCTTTCTATCTACTGGACCTAAGAAAAGCATCCCCATGGACATCCCCTTAAATCCAGTTTTCTACATCTTCTAGGCCTTCAAACAGCGATGCATCCATATCTGGGTGGGGAGTCTAGCCCTTAGCTGTAATACCTGGAGAAGGTGGCCAGCGTGAGTATCTCAAGCAGCAGCTCTGAGCCACAAAAGAAGAGCAAGATACTGTTCATGATAGCTTCTAGGCGGAGCACGTAGGTCTGCAGCAGCAGGTAATAGGAAGCCATCATGGCAGATGGGAAAGTCAATGCCACACTAATGCCAAGGGGCATCTTTCGCTGGCAGAGGTTTCCCTTTGTACCTATAAAAAAAGAGCCCCCACAGTCAACTTCAAATGGTGACTGCTTTTCCTGGCCTCAGCCTGTTTTTTTTCCTCACCTCAGGAAGTATCTGGTGTGACAGATGGACAGAACAGAGAAAAATTACCCTGAATAATTTTTATTATATGTAAATATTTTATTAATTTATTGCTTATTTTCTGCATATGAATGTGCACTGTGTATATGTACCTGACCTGGTGCCTGTGGAGGTCAGAACACATCAGATTCTCTGAAACTGGAATTACAAAAGGTTGTGAGCCTCCATGTGATGCTAGGCCTTAAATCTTGATTCTCTGGAAAAGTAGCCAGTGTTCTTAACCACTGAGCCATCTCTCTAGCAGGGAATATCATTTTTAAAACTTAAGTCCTGGGAGCTGTCTCAGCAGTTATGAGCACTGACTGCTCTTCCAGAGGTCCTGAGTTTAATTCTCAGCAGCCACATGGTGGCTCACACCCATCTGTGATGGGATCCAATACCCTCTTCTGGTGTGTCCAAAGAGACCAACAATGTACTCACATACATAAATAAATCTTTAAAAATAAATAATAAAACTTAAGTCCCACTGAATTAAAAACTTTGAAGCTTCAGGATATTACATGATTAACATCATTTACTCCAGAGGCCGTTTCCACTCTGATTCTACCCAGGGAACAATAGGATTCTGTATCAAGAAAAAAAATCGGGAGGCAGAGACAGGTAAGT